TGTTCAGCGAATGTGCAGTGATTCTGGTCTGACGGCGTTTGTCTTGAACGAACACAATCCGCACCGCAGCAGTCATGTCTCTGCCTGAGGAAGCAGGGGATCGTGGGAAGGAGAGGGAGCGCGGAGCCCGGCCCAAAGTGCGTCAGAGCCGCTCCGAGGAGAGACGAGACGGAGCGAGGCAGAAGGGAGCGAGGGGGAAGAAGAAAAGCCACCCTTCGCACAATCTGACCTCGGAGCGGCCCGTGAGCGACGGCTTCGAGTACGGAGATCTTCTGAACAATTCCAGCGAATCCCTGCTCTCCGAACGGGTTTCCGCTGAGGACACGGAGAGCAAGGTGTCCGGAAGCAGCAGAACGCTCCGCCAGAAGATCCAAGACGCAGTAGGCCAGTGTTTCCCCATCAAGACCCACAGCCAAGGCCTGTCCCCCTCGCCGTCCTCCAGGCGCAAGATCCACCTCAGCGAGCTCATGCTGGACAGCTGTCCGTTCCCCGCTGGCTCGGACCTGGCGCAGAAGTGGTACCTCATCAAGCAGCACACGGCTCCCATTTCTCAAGCTCCGGTCCTCGACTCCGGATCCACGCTTGCTGTGGAGGACGAGGACGACCGCTTACGAGAGAGACGACGGATAAGCATCGAGCAGGGAGTCGAACCGCCGCCTAACGCTCAGATCCACACCTTCGAAGTGACGGCGCAAATCAACCCGCTTTACAAACTCGGACCCAAACTGGCTCCCGGGATGAACGAGTTAGCCGGAGACGAGCGCGCAGCGCTGCTCTTGCAGAGATGTTTGGACACACTCGATGAAGTCGTTGCATCGTCGTCATCAGATTTTGATTTGTGTGCCGCATCTCCGACTCTAGTTCCGCCGGACAGTCCTAAATCACAAGACGGACTCCATCGCATTCACACGCAAATCGATTACATCCACTGCCTAGTCCCCGATCTGCTTCGGATCACAAACCTGCCTTGCTACTGGGGCGTCATGGACCGATACCAAGCCGAAACGCTGCTGGAAGGCAAACCTGAAGGCACGTTCCTATTGCGCGACTCTGCGCAGGAAGACTACCTCTTCTCCGTCAGCTTCCGGCGGTACGGCCGCTCGCTGCATGCGCGCATCGAGCAGTGGAATCATAACTTCAGCTTCGACGTGCACGACCCCAGCGTGTTCCACGCTCCCACCGTCACCGGCCTGCTGGAGCACTACAAGGACCCCAACTCCTGCATGTTCTTCGAGCCACTGCTGTCTAACCCCATCCACCGCTCGCAGCCCTTCAGCCTGCAGCGCATCTGCCGCGCCGTCATCAGCAGCAGAACCACGTACGACGGCATCAACGCTCTGCCGCTGCCCAACGCTCTGAAGGAGCACCTGAAGGAGTACCACTACAAGCAGCGCGTGCGCATTCGCAGACTGGACACCTGGTGGGAGTGACCGGGAACGAGACCGGAGTAGTGCTGTCAGACGATTAATCGCGATTAATCGCATGCAAAGTACAAGTTTTTGTTTACATAACATAGTCAAACCAAAAATTATTCATATATCATTGTTGATATTTTTTTACTAGTGGGTGCAGGACACTATAGTTAATTTATATAAGTGAGGATAGCAAAATAAAGTAAACTGTGACATATTACACCCAAAAATTCTTTATACAGTAAATTAAAAAAATATTCAGGCATGTTTTGAAGTGTTATTCTTTAATTGCTAATGTGATCTTTTTACACCACAGACTGAACAGAATGAAGCACTGCTTGGTAATTAGTTGAGCTAAATTGGTTTTATCTAATTGTGTTCTTAAATTTAACAGCTGACAGCTATTCAACCGAATTCATTACATACCTTTCTATCAAAGATATTATCAAGATGAATTTGTTCTTCTCATATTTTAGTACCATTTTCTAAAATATAGCCAATAAACTGATATAATGTGAGAAATGTTAAAGGCATATGAATACATTTCGGTTTGACTGTATGTGTGTGTGCTGTGTACGTTATGTATATATATAAAAAAACATGCATGTATATAAGAAAAATAAGTTATGTTTATATATTTATATATTTATATGTATATAATATAAGAATATAAATGTATATACATGCAAATATTTTCAAAATGTATACTGTGTTTGTGTGTATTTATATATACATCATAAATATACACAGAACACACACATATGTAAACAAAAGCTTTTATTTTGGATGCGATTAATCGTTTGACAGCACTAGACCGGAAGTGCCACGACGCCTGATATGAAGACGTGAGTGCCTTTTTGACGCTCCTCATTTTGAGGTTTAAACGCTGTTAGCTCGTCACAGGGAGTAATTAACTGAGTAACACTGAATCGGCAAGCCTTTCTTATTTTAGAATATCTTATTTTTATCAAGACAAGTGTTGCATTTGGGAGTTACGGCCCGTTCACAACAAGAACGATAACTATAACGATGATGACTATAACAATGACTAACGCAGACTTTAACGTTGTTTCTAATATTAACAATATACGGACTCTAGCGTTGACTATAACGATATAGCATTGACTGTTGAATGTCCATTTTTATATGATATTAGGCAACATTTTATTCAAACAATTTAATAATGGACATTTAAAAAAAAAGTTTCTCTTGGAATAATTTTCGACATTTTTTCGCACATTAAATTGAAAAATTCTAGTTTTTTGTTGCTGTTGCCATAATTGTTATATTAAGTATATAGGCATTTTTTTGTATGTTGGACGTTTTTAAGATAAAATTGTTACATTATTGTAAACAATGAATTGAAATGATATTGTCATTATTATAAAACTCTTGATTTTGCCATGGATATAGCCATTGCTGCTGATATGGCGTTAAATCTTTAATAAATAAATAGTTGACTATAAAATTGAGTAAAACAATATAACGTTGACTGTAACAATAAAACATCGACTGTAACATTGATTGTAATGTTGACTGTAACAGTGATTATAACAATATAACGATGACTGTAACTGAGTATAACATTGACTATAATGATAATTATACCGCTGACTGTAATGTTGACTGTTGCAATAATTATTGACTAAACATTGAGCATAACGATAAATATTATGTTAAGTATAGTGATGACTATAACCATGACTATTGTTAAAAATAACGACAGCGATAGCTATAACGCTAACTACGTTAGTGTCCACACGTTAATGTTCCATTTATTCTAAGCGCGTGCCGTCTCTTTAAAAGCTCAAGCTCTTTAAAGTCAGTGGATTCTGATTGGATGTAAATGTTTTTATCATTCATCAGCTGAAAAAGAACACACTAAAGGTGACACAAAACTCCTCTGTGTCGTTACTGTTATAGTTATCGCTATAGTTATTGTTCTTTAATGCAGCAGGTTGGGTTTCTTCTGTACACTGGAGAACTGCTGCTAACGGAGCGTCTCAGTATCTTCTCCATCGACCCTGCACTCCTCTTCACTCCCAAGATATACTCCCAGTATACTCACGATTCACGCTCAGCATGCATGTCTGCTCGTTTAATCACAGCACACTCGTCAGAGACAGATATGCTTCTGCCACATGATGCTTCATTCAAGAGCGGATCATTGCACCAAATCTTGAGCCTGTAGACGAGTAGAACAGACCAAATCCACAGTTTTAGCCCAGTGGATCTTGACTGAAGATCTCATTCTCATTGACTCGTCTCGTTTAGTGTAATGTGAGAGCTGTGTGTGATTTGATTTGGGAAAGACAGGATTCTCTGAACGCTGAGGGCTGGTTTTCCATCTGGACGTCAGAGATGTATTGGTATCACTCTTTCATTCATTCATTCCACTGCATTGCTTTTGTTTTTAATGTTTATTCACTGTATCGCATTGTGATTCCACCCGAGGCATGTTTTAGTGGTTTATTTTATTTAGAAACCAAATATCTGAACTTTCTCAACTACTGAACCCCATTGAAAACAACTGAGATGAGAATGTTAGAAACGCTTGTAAAACTATGAAAATGTCAAAGATGTTCCAGAAAATGCAGCATTGAATGTTAAAGGGGTCATATGATGCGATTTCAATTGTTCCTTTCTCTTTGGAGTGTTACAAGCTCTTGGTGCATAAAGAAGATCTGTAAAGTTGCAAAGACTAAAGTCTCAAACCCAAAGAGATATTCTTTATAAAAGTTAAGAGTCAGCCACGCCTACCTAAAACGGCTCGTTCTAACACGCCCCCACATATCTACATCACTATGTGGGAAGATTTGCATAACGCCACCCAAATGTTCATGCAAAGAAAGAAGGCGTAACTTTTATTCTTGCTGTAGTATTGTTGTATACTACAGAATAAGTCATTACAATCAGTAATTATGTCCCCACTGGATGCAACAAATGCCTCGTTTATAATGGGTTTTAATGTTTTTGTCTCAAAGGGGCCAAACGTCATGTGTTTGGAGACGAAACGAAATCAGACAGCCGCTGCAGTGTGATTAAACAACTGTTAGTGTATTTATAACATTAACCTGCTGTCTCGGTTGGGATCTTTTGTGCGTGTCGCCTTGCTGGTCAAGTCTGGATTGATGTGAAGCACAGTGAGTGTGTTTGGTTTTGTGTCGACAGTTTACTGTGATTTCATGAACTTCTGTTCTTAAAGCAGCTTGCCTTGGGTTTTTTTTTTATTCTTTTTTTTTTACACTGATATTTATTTATTTTCTATATTAAGGCTTGCCTAATATGCTTAGCATTTTTTCACGTGTTTCTCATATATTAAAGCCAAGTGTGAATACTTTTATTGCTGTGTACGGTGTAACAAAAGCACATATTAATAAACTATGTTGGATCTTTTAATGCGCTTTGGTGTTGTTTTTGTCATTTCATACTACTTCCCTAGACATTTCCAGATACCTTCCTTATGTTACAATTGATTAAAATAAATTATTTTAGTCGTATATTTATATTATTATATTTCTATATTATATTATTTATATACTTTTATTTCTATCGTGTGTACGCGCATGCGTTGATGCGGGACTTTTATTGTGAAGCGCGGCTGCCGCGGCCGCCATCTTCCGGTCGGTTGCTGTGATGGAGACGCGGCGCTTCGGATTAAACTTTCCGTTTTAAATTCAGAAAATCCTCTGAAACTGAAAATAAATCCTCTGAAGTAAAGCTGTACAATCACACAATGCTTTTAAATTCACGGCAGAACTGAAGGCGCGGGATCAGAGAGCAGGTGAGGATTAAACTAATCGCGTTAAATCAGTAATTATTAAACGCTGTTATTATTAAGAATGATCGTGTTTCGTATTCAGCGCTCGTCTTTACGGATGATTTGCTTTTATATTGTTTAAATTTACTCGTTCAGGCTTGTGTTTTCATTGGATATCACCAGTGCTTCAGTTATGATCTATATCTGCGTTTACATATTTATGATTCTCAGAGAAAAGCGGTTCGACCGTTTATCTGAGGTAAACGCAAACAGATCCGTGTCGACGTTATGTGTATTTTTTCATGTGTATTTAATACGCAGTGGTTTTTATTTGTAAATACGTGTTATATGCTGAATGTGATGTGTTTGTGAAGTTTTAATTTGAAGTAATTGAGTGAGATTAATTGAAGGCCGTCACCATGACAACCACGGGGCTGCGCATCGGAGATCAGCTGGTGCTGGAGGAAGACTATGATGAGAGCTACATCCCTTCAGAGCAAGGTTACTGCTACTCTTCATCACACACACACACACACGCTATGACCCTCATATGTCTACATAAACACCATCCACAACTGTGATGTACTAAAATAACTACAACCAAAACTGCTATAAAACTTTTTAAAAACTATTTAGAGATTTAATAAAAAAACTCACAAAAATGCAAAAAAATAGCAAAACATAAAATGCAAACGGAAACTATAAAAATAAAAACTATTGTAGTATCTCAGTGATACCAGATTAATACTGATCTTGAACAGCAAAATAAATACAACAAATAATACTATGACTTATAAATACTTCACAATTCAAATAATGTATTATTTTTGTCTTATTGCAGTACTTAGAATTTGTCATGAATAACTGTCATTAAAATAATGTCATTAGTGTCCTAGAACTGACTTTATGTAAAGTATAGTTTCTTTTGATTTTGAAATGTGACGCGCACATGTTTATGAAAAACACATTCGTACTGAATATTTTGATGAATTTCACTTTAAAGATGATCATTCTGTCTTCAGTTACTCATGATGTTCTGAACCTGTATGAGTGAAGACAAAAGCAGATATTGTGAGAAATGGTTTTGTTCATGTAATGATAGTAAATATAATAGCCATTTAATGGGTCCAATGTTGTTGTTTGGTTCTCAACGTTCTTCACAATGTCTTCTGAGTTTCACTGAAGAAAGTCAGTCATAGAGGTTTGGAGTGAGGTGCTGACGGCCCGTGTGTGTGTGTGTATGTATATATGTGTGTGTGTGTGTATGTATTGTGTGTGTGTGTCAGAGATCCACGAGTACGCCATCGAGATCGGTATCGACCCGGAGCGTGAGCCCGAGCTGCTGTGGCTGGCCAGAGAGGGGATGGTGGCGCCGCTTCCAGCCGAGTGGAAACCATGGTAACACACACTTACATTACACTCATGCACAAACACTCGCTCACTCACTCACTCACTCACTCACTCACTCACTCACTCACTCACTCACTCACTCACTCACTCACTCACTCACTCACTCACTCACTCACTCACTCACTCACTCACTCACTCACTCACTCACTCACTCACTCACTCACTCACTCACTCACACACAATCACACGCTCGCTCGCTCACTCACTCACACGCACACTCACTCGCTCACTCACACACACACACTCACTCACTCGCACACACGCTCGCACACACACTCACTCACTCACTCACTCACTCACTCACTCACTCACTCACGCACGCACGCACACACGTTTATGTGGAGACAGGAAGTCACTCTCTTGTGTGTGTGTTCAGTCAGGACGTCACCGGTGAGGTGTACTACTTCAACTTCTCCTCGGGTCAGTCCACCTGGGATCATCCGTGTGATGAACACTACCGCCAGCTGGTGGAGCAGGAGCGCGAGCGCAACCAGCACGCCAGAGCCGCTCCGACCGCCGTGAAGAGAGACAAGGAGAAGAAGAAGAAGAAGGACAAGAAAGACAAGAAGAAAAAAATGCAGGAAGTCAAAGTTCCAGGGGTGAGAACATCTTACAGGAACATTCAGCAGCGTTCAGAAGGCTCTTCTGCTCACCAGAGCTGTGTTTATTTGATCACAATACAGTAAAAACAGTGAAATATTATTACAGTCTAAAACAGCTGTTTTCTATGTGAATATCTGTTAAACTGTAATTTATTTCTGTGATGCGCAGCTGTATTTCTTTGTGGAAACCGATACATTTTATTTTTCAGGATTCACAGATGAATAGAAAGTCCAAAAGAACAGCATTTATTTGAAATAGAACATTTATTTGAAACGCTCGCTCGCTCGCTCACACACACTCACTCACTCACTCACTCACTCACTCACTCACTCACTCACTCACTCACTCACTCACTCTCACTCACTCACTCACACACACTCACACTCACACAATCACTCACACAATCAATCACTCACTCACTCACTCACTCTCACTCACTCACTCGCTCACTCACTCGCACACTCACTCGCACACTCACTCACACACACTCACTCACACACACACTCAATCACTCACTCACTCACTCACTCACTCACTCACTCACTCACTCACTCACTCACTCACTCACTCACTCACTCACTCACTCACTCACTCACTCACTCACTCACTCACTCACTCACTCACTCACTCACTCACTCACTCACTCACTCACTCACTCACTCACTCACTCAC